ATAATAAATTTTTTAAGTAATCTCTAAGAAATTTAAGATCTCAGGAAATGGAGAGAACTCAATATTACATAATAGAAAGGGTAACGTGGAATAAATTCAACATAAAGTTCTCGTAGCAATAAGGAAGTTTCCTGTTTATGCTTGATAACGGCAAACCTGTTAAATTATTAGTTACAGAGTTAGAAACGATGTGGTTTGTTTTTAAATAGTAAAAGTCTACATTCTCTTAACGAGATTGAAATAGAAATCCAATACTTAATAAATAATCTATTATCAAAAAAAAAAAAAAATATCAATATGAACAAATCAAACATTTAGATAATAATGATAGTTTATTCTAGATAGATTCATTTCAATTGTAATTTTTTAATTTATATTTAGTTTTTTATATAAATACAATTTAAAAATTCGAGTTTGATTAAAATAACATTTATTTAAAAATATTTAACTTTAGTTTTTAATTTTAACTTTAATTTTACTTCACTTTGATTTCTAGTCAATCAAGATATCTTCTCACAGTTAAAATCTCATTAATTTATCATCATATAGTATTTTTACTATAATTTTTTTACAAGAATGTTAAAAAATTTCATATACATAATATCGGAGCATTTTCATTAACTTTTGCAGAATCATTTTCAAATTATTGTTTTAAACAATTTAAATATACAGATATTATCTAATTATATAATAAAAAGAATTACATTTAAAAAAATATTTAGAGAATCACATTTATACACATATAGCATAAAGTATAATTAAAATATTAAAAATAAAAATTAAAAATTTCTTAAATATTAAATAAAATACTTATATTCCATACATTGATTTTTTTTCAATATTTAAAAAAAAAAATATCACAAACCTTATTTCACAATGATCAGAATCCTGTTACTGAAAAATCGTCGTTCCACGTGAATTGTTGATTATCTTCGAAGAACACTAAGTACGAAGAACACCGGAAGTATAGTTAACAGAATATTTCCTCTTGTAATAATGTTTCACCTGCACGTTTTCTGGCACTGGCGTGTCATCGTCGACGACGCAAACAATTAGAAACGAACACCACACAAAAAAATCGAAACGCGACTACTCGACTTGTTTCGCCGCGGAACGCTAAATTCGAACTGATCACCGCGCGCTTCAAGTTCTCCTACTACTAACTATGAGTGCGCAGCGATCGTCGACTTTCGTTCGGTCTTGAAACCATTCGCCCCACTTTGTAAGTTTCCACCATAATTTCTCACTTTCCTTGTCTGTGAATTTCTTCTTCCAATTATATATGATTCTCTTTTGGATAATTATAGATGTTATCAATGAAGAAAGATAAGATATAATTCTTTTTCGTTACTCTCTTTATTTTTTTTTTTCAATTTTAAATAATTAAAATTTCATTAATTTTGTTATTTTTTTAGGAATAAAAAAATAAGAAAATACCAAATATCATATAGACATTTCTACCTTTTGTTTTATTTTATATTTCCATTTTTTAATTTTTTCATCATTTTAAAAATGGCTTTTTTCTTTCAATCCTCTTTTGTCTTTTAACATATATTTTGTTTTTTAAAAATACTTGCAAATTTGAAGCTATTTAATTCTGTAGAAATAAGAAAGAAAATAACAATGTAGAAAATGTTAAGAATGTATGTTCATTCATGAGAATAATTGCATGAATGCGGTAGAAAAGGACCAATTCACGAATCTCACAGCGGACGAACGAATAAAACGCACAACATCCACACTAGACGGAAGTAATGAACGTTACTACGCTTATCTAGTTTGATACTTCCTTCCCAGCTTACAAGCATTTATACAAGAGCGTAGGCAGACTTTCTATGGATATCATCGTAATTACTATCATCATTTAGTTCAATTAATATCTCTAAGCATTTGTAATTCTTCTTATTCTAAAATATAATTTTATATTATTTACATTATTTACATTATAAAATATAATGTTATATTATTTATATTACATTATATTTCATTTTTAATAAATTATTGAATAATATTAATTATATTATACAACTGATAATCTTGAATATGTTTTATAAAATATTATTATTTTGTAAAATACTTATTATTATTAATGAAATGAAAAACATGCATTGCATGTTTATTGAAAATAAAAAATGTTTTTCAAAAAAAGAATAAGAATAATACATTCAAATAATATAATACAAATTTATACATAATTATACAAAAATAATTATTTTTTACAAGTAAATTCTTAACTTACATTAAATCATGATAATTTCTATGAGGTTTCCTTTTTATTATTGAATAATCATTTCAATATATAATTTCTGCTAACATCATTGTAATGATCTATAATCTATTCGATCTATAGGCAGCATCGTTAATATAATTTTTATGTAATCCTAATCGAAATTTCAAATTCTCGTGTAATAATATCATAATAATATAATATTAACATCAATTTTATTATTTATTATGTTGTTTTCCAATATTTATAGAATATATAATCTATATCTGAAGTTGCATCTGAAATATAAAAAGATTATTTTTTAAATTACATTACATTTTGAAAGAAAAAGATGATATATAGTCACACATGATAATCATAAGTTCTTATGATTAACAGATATTTAGAATAAAAATTAATATTTCCATATTTTTTATTTACTTAAACACTTAAAACATTTTTTTAAAAAGAAAAATTGTCTTATTATTACCATATCTTTTTAATGTTGTAAAATAATAATAATAATAAATTGATAAAATAATTTTAACATTTTCTATTAAATAAAATTTCATTTTAAGTATCCATATCTTAATCATGAAATTCCAAAAATTCATGTTAACTTTATTTATTTATTTACAAGTGTATTTTATTAATTTTATTTTCATTTATAGTTCACATATAAACGAATATTTAATATAAATATTCGCTGATTGCAATTTAGATAATGCTCAAAACGTATTATTATTTTAATTCATATTTTACTAAAATGAATTTTATTGAAATGCTTGTTCTCAAAGATTGTAAAGCATTGAGAAATTAATTAAAAATCAACAATAATTTGTGTCTGTGATAAGAATGAATCAGGACATTTTCATATAATGATTTTCTTCATTTTTTTCGATATCACAAAAATTTATAATGATTTTTTGCTTTTTCGAATCAAATTCTTTTGCAAAATCTTCATAATATAAAACATTCACTCAATTCATTCACAAAAAAAATAAAATAATTTTTTATTGTTATAAATTATTATCATACTATGAAATTTAATTTCATGATGATGTAACTCTGTTGATTATCCATTACAATAATCATAATGGTTATGCTTGATCTTGTAACCTTGACAAGATCATTGCCATCGTGGCAATGGCACAAGAAACAATCAGTGATTATCTACGTCTCTATTATGGAATTCCCTGCATTTAATTGTATTTAATAGCTATTTATATGAATGTGTCAGATCAAATGGATTTGATATGTTTTACAAAATGATGGGTCAAGGATTATCATATTATGAGATCTCATGATCATTATCTTAGTTATCACTTTATTATTAGTATTATATTTGATTTTATAGTATTTTTTCATATTTAATTTTGTTTTTATTATCCCATTCAATTATTCTGCATAAATCCTTGAAAAAGTTTAAAGATTTCTATATTCATGATTAAGAAATTTTTTAATCAGAATTTTCGTATCCTTGTATCAATTTAAAATTCAATTCAACAAAAAAAATCTTGATTTATTTATTGTTTCGCAATACGTGCTATTTTCTCAATAATCAATATTCTTATTTTTCTTATATAAAAATAATAATAAATTAAACAATAAAAAATAAAAATTTTTATAATATCATTATTTCTTTACAATAAATTTCTACAAAAGATAAATTTCGTACTTGATATCAATTTTTCAAACAAACATTATACTATACTTCGTAGATAGAGCTATATAAAAAGTACTCTATGTTTTATTTGATTAATATATTTTTTTCGATTATTAATTACATCTTTTTTCAATGATCTAACAACATAATACATGTAAAATTTCATTTTTCTATATTTAAAAAAATCTTAGTAGTCATATTTTGAATGTATCAAGCAGCGATAAGAAAACGGATGTTGACTTTGTAGCTTTAAAAAGAACACACGTGTTTAATGTAAATACATTCTATTTAAGACTAATATAGTTGACGGTTAGTTTAGAACTCTTATATCATTATACCATTCAGCTCGAGTTATCCCTGTAGTTCGCCTCGTGAAATCGCAGATGTATTTACATTGTCTGCCTAATTGTCATACATATATCTAGAGATTCCTTTTCTTTATAGGTGGATGTTTAAAAACTAAAAATAATAAAAAACAAATCAATTAAAAATTAATCTAAAATTAATTAAGTCTAAAATATATATTGTAGAATTGTCTTCTAGGCATTTTATTTATTTGATTGGATTCGTTTATTATCTATTTATCTTAGTTAATAAATATCAAAGTAAAATTTTTTTTTAAATTATTAAAATTAATTTGAAAACATCAATGGAATAGTTTCTAAAATGAATAAGATGAAATTCAGATGTACATCTGAAATTGGAAATAAAAGCGCTTGCGCTTTTAACTCATCTATTATTTTCATCTTTTTTATGAGGTAAACTTGGATTTGATAAACATTTACGTAATAAACATTATCGCAATTAATCCTAAAATATAAATTTGTATATATATTTATGTAAAAAGACGATATTACGTTATGTTAATTAAAAATTTTTTTAAATTAAATTTTATACAAATATCATAATTGAAAATATTGAATAATTAAAAAAGTTTTATTTATTTTTGATGATCAATTTTCTATCCTGAGATAATCTTATTTTATTCTATATTCACTTATAAATCATTGGATGTCGCGCACTTTCATTGAAACTTCTTCACAGCTTTCCCAACTGCGGATCGAAATGGATTTAAAACCAGAAGGACAGACCAATCAGATTGCATATCTTGCGCGCATGCGTATTTTGATACCTACTCTTGTAACAAGGAATCTGTTGTAGACACAGGAAAATATTTTAATAAGATCGTAACTTCAGTTAGTCGTGATTGATTTTTTTCAAATCTTATTTTATGAAGTAAAATAATAAAGATGTGAAAAGTGATAATTTCTATGATTTCTAAAATGTCATCGAAGTGCATCTCTGTCAATCCACATTTCTCATATGTTTATTGAACTTCAATTCATCAATTCAATCAATTTAATTAATATTATTGTAAAAATGGATAATTGTAAATACAAAAATTTGACAATAACAATTGAAGAAGGATAAATGATCTCTAAAGAAAAGAGAAGATTTATATGGAATCATTTTCGCGATAAAAAAATTTTTAAGAAAAAGATTGTTCATTGATCCTGTCAATTTTTTCTTTCACAATTGTTTACAAAATACAGACAACGAACCTGAAAGTATAAAATTAAAATATGAATAACTTTGTGAGAGAAAAAAAGGGTTCTTGCATTCGATACTAACCTATCTCAACAGAATGCGAGTATTAAAATCCCCGATATGCTTTTCATATTTAGAAATTCTTAAGATATATATATAAACATTAATTCCTAAAATACTAAAAAAGATTCATCAACAAAATTAAAAAAAAAATCCAACAAGAATTTATCAATATTATATATAGTTACTATTCTTCTAACCAACCGTGATAAGAAATAGCTGTTCAACATCTTTAACAGCAATAAATCAAAAAAATAAACAAATAATTAATAATAAAATAAAATTAAAGATTAAAAGTATAAAAAAATGTCAGAAGATAGGCAATTTGCATTCATTAATGTGTTCTGGTTGGAACCGTTATTGTGGAAAGTCATAAAAAATTTACTTTATAATATCATTTATAGGATTTTAATTCCTCTAGATTTTTCAAAAATTATTGAGATAAAATTATGCAGGATCGCTGAACAGAAAGGATGCAGTTTGGAGAAGTGTCGTTGAACCGGATTTATTCTGGTTATTTGATTCGGTGTTATTATCAACGTCCTCGTCGTCGAGGTCGTAAAATTCAAGAAAGACTTGGCTGGATTCAAGGTCAGCCACAGAATGTTGGCGGAAATGGTCCGTCTTTCGTACCAGCATCGAGCATTTTATTGCTATGTGATTCTGAGTATATGGATTTTTCTTCTTGTTGCTGGTAATTGAAGGAAATCTCGGCAGTTATTTTTTTTATTTTTTACGTATATTCTAATTTTTTTATACATTATTTATAATTTTATTAATTTTATATTTAATTTTGATTAAAACTGATTACTTATTATATTTTTTTTATTTTTTATATTATTTTATGTAATAACATAATAGATTTTTTTAGAAAACCCTTTTGATATATTAATGCACTATTTTATCTTAACATAAGCGCTTAAAAGGAAATACGCGAGACAATGCAATTAAATAATGCATACACAATTTCATGTTATCAGCTTCGTTAACTTGGTGTTAGACATATAAACATGTTTAAAATTCTTTTTTTCATCTAATGTTTTTTTTTTCTACTTTTTTCTGAGCAAAAAATTGAATATGAATTTATTCATTACAAATATATATGTAAATTCTAAAATATAATTAATAAAATTGCATTGTTAAATTTTATAGGTATGTACAAATATATTGGTATAGATGAAAAAAGTTCTATGCAAACTAGAGTTATAGAAAATGACATTTCCATAAAAGAATTCCCAAGAAATTTAAAAGCTGATCTAAAAACCAAAAAAATATTTCGATTTTGTAATCCTCCTAGTGAAATTACAACGGAAACAGAAGGTAAATAAAATGTTTATATATTATATTATATATTATATATTATAAATAATTATAATATTATTAAATTATTTTAAATTAATAAAAAATTTAAATAATTAATAATTCTCATTTTTAGGAAAATTAGATGGAAATTTAACATTAGGAGGAATTTTAGTGTTTATTCGACATGGAGACAGAGGTCCTTTAGCACATATTCGAAATATAAGTTTAGTGAATTGCGGTGGAGATTTTAGTTCCATACCTGAATTAGAAAATTTATATCATAATTATGTAAATTTTTTGCAAAATGTTTCCAGCTATTCCAGAACTGCTTGGGCACAATTTTTAGGACCATTTCATGGTTTTCCAATGTTGCCCAGCAATTCTAAAGATTGCAAAATTGGCCAATTGACAACTCTTGGCATTGGACAATTATTAAAAACTGGAATCATACTTAAAAATGCTTATTATCATAAATTGAATCTGGGAAATAATTCTATATCCAATAAGGATATTATTGTATATAGCACTAGGTATCGAAGGACAGTCCAAAGTGCAGTTGCATTATTATATGCTCTATTAGAAACAGATGGTTTCCAAAATTTAGCTAAAATTACTATGCAAGAAAGTCAAAGCTATGCTTTTTGTAATACAGATTGTGCATGTCCTGCTGCTGAAAAATTTTATAAGCAATATCTAAAGGTAATTACATTTTAATCTTTTTTATGAATTTGATATTGAATTTTTTGAAATTTTCTTACAGGAAATGTCAGATCATTTGAAATCTCATCCAGCAGTGGCTGATCTTATACGACAAGCTTCCAATGCAGTCTTCGAAATTCCTGATCAAGCCCAGATGACAGATCCTAATACCTTAAAGGATGCATTGTTAACTTATATCTGCCATGGTGCTTCTCTGCCCTGCATAGACTTTAACACTCAAAGAATTTGTGTGAAAACTGAACATGTAACAAGTTTGTTCACTTATACGGAATGGGAATCTAAGCAAGTGGCAAAAAATAATAGTCGCAGAAAATATGGATTGCTAAGGGCTTATGGGTTACTTCGAAATATCGTTTCCTATATGTTACGGATTATTTCTGAAGCTAAACCAAAAATAGTTTTATATTCTGGTCATGATAAAACATTAGAATACCTCGCAACTGCTCTCGGTATATTTTCTGACAAATTAACAATGCCGCATTATGCTTCTCGTTTCGTGATCGAAGTTTATCGAATAAATCCGAAAAATGAAAATCACGTAGCTAGCGATTTCTATTTTCGAGTAGTGATCAATGGTAAAGATTTTACTCAGAAAATTCCATTTTGCAGGAATGCAAATTTTTATAGTATCAGTTATATTGAACGCAATGAAATGGAAAAACGCAAAGATTCAAAATTGTGCCCAATCGAGACAATCATCAGACAACTTCACGATGATTATTTCGGACCATTTAATGCAACTAATTTCAAAGATGCATGCACTAATCATAAGTATGGATAGTGTAAATGCGACAAATTTATTAAAATGATATAAATTATCAATTGTATAATTATTTAATTTTTTTGTGAAATTAATGAAATGAAAAATAACCAAAAATTAAAAATTGAATATTCTATAAGCTCTCACAAACTAGAAGTGAAATATAATCGGTGCAAATTCAAATCTTCATAAATTCAAATAAAATAATAGATCTTAATATTCTAATATTTTCCAAAGAAAGTATTAAAAATATATTACAAAGAATCTCAGCAAATTTCTTTTATTATTAAAGCTTTATTATATGGAAATCTCAAAGTATAAAATATAAAAAATGATAGTAAAATTTGCACTGTTTAGATACTGTCTTCGAACGAATAAGAAAAAGAAAGCCTTATATTCTTAGATTATATCTTACAAAATCGAATATAGCTTTAAATATACATACAAAGCTAAATGATTGCCATATATATTTTATCACGTCTTAATGTATATATGTAAATAACTTTTATCAAACGGAAATTGTGTTTATTGTTTTTAAAATTGTTGAAAAAATTAAAATCCTATGTAGTTCTCCATCTTTGCTACAATTAAATAATTATTTTCCTTGTTAAAATTAATTCTCATTATACTTAAAATGGACCAAAATCCTTGTATAAGAATAATCATCACACTCAAGTGCTGTTAAATTTATGTATTTATTTAGAAAAAAATTGCACGGTTCAAATTTATTGCAAAGTTGTACAAATCAGTATTTATCCAAAAGATATACAAAACAATGTTAAATTAAATTATAGATACATTTTTTGTTAAAATACATATTTATCATAAATTATATTATTGAAGGATGATTTATTAATTCCTGTCATTGAATAACAAAAAAAAGACATTTTATATTTTATTCACAATACAAAAACGTACAGATTTTTAATAAATAAATAGAATACTTATTACAATGTACAAGGCACAAGTTTGTATTCTTATAATAACAATGTATGTATAAGAACAATATTTTTTTATCTATTATCTATTATCAGTAACTTTGGTAAAACACAATATATAAACATAACATAATTTTGTTCAATTTGTTAGAAATATTAATAGTATTGAAATTATAGCACACAATATCATTATCTAATAATTAATATAGAATCTTAACGCATGTTCGACAAATGATAATTCCTATACTACAGTTCTATATACATTTTGTAGAAAAAATACAGTTAAACTTTCAACAACATCTTTTCCAATAAAAATGCCCAGTTTTGAATGTTTTTGGTTGATAATACAACCAAAAACAGCAATCCCATGCGGTTTATACAATAATAACCGCATTCATAAAATAGTGACGTGATATTTAAATCACAGTCTACAATAATTAGAAAAATTAGATACAAAACATAATACTATTCTGGAATAATTTGAAGATTTCCAGTTTCTGCCATGGCTAAACCCAATTTCTGTTGAATATTTTTCAAACGTTGATAATACTGTTCAAGTGTAAATCCGTCGAAACCACCATCCCCACTGAAAATTAATAAATAATAATTAATACAATTTAAAATAATTAAAATTAAATTTGAAATAATTCATTAATTTACTTACTTTGAAGTGTTTTTATCTCGGACAGGAGGTGAATGATTTATAGTAGTTTTCTGAATTGGTAAAAAAGATTGATCTATATTCCATAATAATGTTTTTACACCTATTCGTTTGCCAGTGTTCCATCTCACAATTAACCATTTCATTCTACAAATACTGATCACAACAAGTACTGCACTTCTAAAACGCACTTTTGGCGATTTTTTGTTGCGACCTATTACTGCATAAGATCGTTGCACTTTAGTCAATTGAGCAAGTACAGATAAAGTATTTTCTTCAGATAATTGATAGCCGCCAACAATAGATAGTAAATAGCGTTTCTGATAAGCTAGAGCTTTTCGTCTACTATCTGCTCGCAGAAATTTTCCATAAAAATGTTGCAACTGTGAAAAAAAATATATTATTATATCATTAAATATGAAATAAATATAAAAAAAAAAAAAATAGAAATTACTTTTTCTGTATGTTCTCGAGTATTCAAATCTTGAGGTGCTTTATTTCGTTTCACTTGAACTTCAAATAATTTAATTCGTTGATTCAATTGCTCTTTTTCTTCCCTTGCTTTCATTAATTTTTCCTGAAGAATAGTTTTCTCTGTCAAATATTTTTCGTTGATATTCGTAAGATCCTATAAATATAATATTATAGTTATAAAATGCAATGATTTATAAAATGATTAAGAATTTATTATTAAACTCATTACTTCAATCTTCTGTAAGAATTTAGCAGGGATATTTTCATTTGAGAATCTATTTTTCAATTCTTTCGTTAGTTCTAATTCTCTTATCGTGTATGTTTTTATGTCTTGTTGTAATTCTGTGATCACATCTTTTAAGTTCTTTTCCTCATCTTTGGCAGTAGTCAGTTTTTTAATTAGATCACTTTCTCTTTCTTTAAGAGTTTCCACAGTTTCAGTTAATTTTACTTCACGTTCAAGGGATTCTGTCAATTCTCTTTTTAACTGCTTCATATCAGCTTCTAGATCCATCTAGAAGAACAATTAATTATTTACTAAAAGATGATAGAAATCAATCATTATAAAAATATATATATCTTTATACTAACTATTACTTCTCTAGCATTATTAATTTCTCTTCTCGAAGCTTTAAGATCATTGTGTTCAGAAGCACTTCTTTCCTGTCTTCTAGTTTCTGCATCAGACATAGTCTTGATTCTTTTCTGTAACCATTCACATTCTTCTTCTTTTGCTTTTAGTTCTTCTTTGGTACGCCTGAGATCAGTTTGCAAATGATCTTTGGTTCCCTCTATTAAAATCAAATTACTTATTAAATTCTCTCTTTTTTCTTCCTCCACTTCAAGTTGTTTCTCAATGCGATTTTTCTCCATCTGTAATTTTTTCAAAGTATCTTTGAGCTCTACATTACATTTTTCTTCTTTTTCAAAGTTTTCCATTAGTAATAAATATTTCTTTCTTTCATTTTCCAAAAGATCTGTTAATTTCGGTAAGTCATCGGCTTTTTGGGATTGTACATGTTCTTTCATCAAACTCAATTGCATCTCTAAATTTTTGTATTCCTCTTGTAACAAGTTCAATTCATTTTTAAGTTTTGCCTCATTATCTAAAGAATTTTTTTGTTTATTTTGAAGAAAATCTATTAATTCTGAATTTCGGATATGTTCAATTTGCATTGTTCTATGTTCTTTTTCAATTTCAATTTTTAACATTCTCATTATTTTTTTCTCAGAAGATAATTCATCATCTAATTTCATAACTTTCTTTGATTCTTCTGTCAAATCTGATTTAAGCTGGAAGATACGATTTTCATATTCCGCTATCTGACATTTAAGCATTTCTCTTTCAATCTCTAAATCGTCTTTCAATTTTTTCAATTCTTCATTAATCTTATTAGCTTGAATTAGTTTTAATTTTAATTCCATATCCTGATAAGAAGCAGAATTATGTTGTTTTTCGCATTCAGTTTTATGTGTCTTTGTGTCACTTTCTATGGCGTTCATGATCTGTTTATCTAAATGAACTGATAAATTTAATTCTCTTTGTACCATGTCTTCAATATCAGTATCATCCTGTGATCGTTCTGCAAATACATGAAATATATGATTATTAAAATAAATAATTTAAAATATTTTATCTTATATATCTTATATAAAAGAAAATACTTACGCGCAATTAATTTTAAATCAGATAACTCTTTACTCATTTTCTCCATCATATCTCTTAACTCAGCAGTTAATTTCTTTTCGTCCTTTAACTTTTTTCTCAATTCCACTACATTTCCAGATTCTTTCATTTTATTTTGTATAATTTCTAAAGCTTTGTGTAGATTCTTACCATCATCATTCATTTGTCTTATCATTTTATCTTTTTCTTTTAAATATTCCTGCAAATGATGAATTTCTTGATCCTTTTCATTAGAAGGTGATGATGTTTCCGACACGCTAGTGCGTCTAGCCATTTCTTCTAATCTTCTAATGATCTGATCTCTATTGTTTAGACCTTCAGTCAGTCTCTGAATTTCGGTTTGACATTCTAATAATTCTTGTTTAATCGATTGATATTTGGTTTTAAATTCGTATAATTGTTTGTTTTCATTTTCGATCTCAATATTGCGGGTTTGAATTGTTTCAATGGTAATATCTTTGTCGAGAATTATATCTCTAAAATTTTGCATTTCTTTTATCTTCTCATGAAGCAAAGTAGTATATTTCCGTGCCTGTTCTAATTCTTGTTCCTTCTCTTCTATATTTTTCTTCAATTTAATATTTTCTGAATTCAGCTCCATTATAATTCTTTCATTCATTTGCATTTTATTCTTATGATCTTGTATTTCTTCATCTTTTAATTTCAAAACATTTTCTACTTCTTGAAGATCTTTCTTTATTTTATTTTCTGATACTCGTGATAACTCATATTGATTTTGATAGAAATATTTGTCTCTAGAAAGTGTTTCTATTACCTCTTTGAATTCTATTTGTAATTCATCATAATGTTTCTGTAAAGTAATTAAATCATTTTCTTTTTTATTTAAAATTACTGATTTTGTATTTAATTCCTCTTTCACTATCTGCAATTGATTCTCTAACTTCTCCATTTCATTTAAACTTTCATTAATGGAAGTTTGAGTATATTTTATTGATGTAACACAAGATTTATTACTATTACTGTCATTTTTCTCATCAATATGTTTTTCAGGAGATTTCTGCACTTGAATTTGTTGTCTTGACTGGATAACATGATCGGTTTTGTCATTGGAAAGATTATTTTCTGATGAGGAAGTCTTTAATTCTAGGCCACTGTGTAACAAATCTAACATTCCAGATTGTTGACTAGAAGTTGCAGATAAGCTCTGAGAACCAAGATCCAAAGGAGGAACTTGAGGATGAACCATGTTAGTACTGTCCATCAAAGGCACAATTGAATCGTCTATATTTTTGAGAGTAAATGGAACTTTGAAAGTAGATACATTAGGTAAGTTTTGAGTTGTATTAATTCCTCTAATAGCTTCTGTAGTCTCTTCGCATTCCGAGTGAATTGATAATATATCACTTAATGTACGTGCACTATTCTTTGCCTCTGTTTGACGTGCTAATTCTCTTAATTGTGTTTCATCTAAATTTAGCGAAGAATATATTTCAAGTTGCTTTTCTTTTTTGGATAATTGTTCTTTCAAATGATCTATTTCCTCGTTTTTATCTGCTAACATACTATCTATTAGTTTTGGTAATTCCAATTGAGCATGTTCTTGAACGCCAACTTTTGCCTAATAATAATTTTATTTAGTTAAATACAATATTTATAAATATTTAATTTAAATTATATACCTGAAGAATTTTTTTTTCTTCTTCTACTACTTCCAGATGTTCTTTCAACTTTTGAATTGTAACACTTTCTACTTGTACCACATTTGCAATCTCTGCTTGTTTCTCTTGTAATAATTGGTTAACTCTATCTAATTGATTCTTCATATCCTTTAACTAAAAAATAAAAAATATTTTATAAAAAGTGACGATAAAAGATATATACTTTTCAATATTTACT